CCCCTCTGACCCCATAACCCCAAAACCCCTCCCAAAGCTCTCCACCTTAAAGCCTGGACTCCTGTCTGTGACCTCCCAGAGTCACATGAGTTAGACGAAAGCTTCTTCACACGCACACCCACAGCTTTTTTTTTTTTTTTTTTACCACTCCACACAATTCATCTCCTACTCTCTCTCACTCCAGTTTCTCCAAATGCCCCCCTCCCCACCCCCGTTCCTGACCCCGCAACCCCTCTCAGCTCCTCCACCATCACTACCAGATTTTTTCCCGTCCCAGCTCCTGTCTCCCTCACTCCACATTCCCCTCCGCCCCCTTTCAAATGAAAGCAATTTCTTCTGGTTGCCCTTTTATCTAAATTATTCAAGAATGATGCAGAAATAAATTAAGATAAAGAAACTCTGCTTTCTTTTCTCGAAAAGTTTAGAATAACTTGATGGGTGTGTCCACTACTTTTTAATGTTGTCGGGATATTTCTCTCTCTTTTGTTTTGACAGGTGACTCCATCACCAGCATTCTTTTTGTTTTATTTCAGAGAATTTAAAACAGGGGTTTTAAGTTGTCATCACTGCCTTTAATGGGAACGATGGTGGGAAAAGCTAATCGAAATTAGGACAAAAGACAAAAAGATAAATATATAGGAGCATGTGGGCCCAACACTCACTCTTTCTGGTAAGTCTGTGTTTTTATATGTTTTTATTTCCTTGTGGTATGGTGTTACAGGCTGGTTAACATTATGTGCCAGCATCTCTAAGCATTTTTCTGGTGCTTGTTCCAAGCACCTCCTGCACTATCCTGCTTTTAAAAAAAAACTCTAGTGGACACAGCAGCTTAGTTTCCTCCTGTTCTTTGTTTCCTCTATTTCACTTTCACTTTCTCATAAAAATGTTTGCAGTACCAGACACCAGCTTGTCACCTTCCTTATCTTCTTCTCTGCACAATGTCTGTGCTTACACTAGGAACCCAGGCAACCAGATTACTGTGAGAAATCAAGCAGGAAATCAGATAACACATTTATATCCACAACAAAAGTGGGATAGTTCTAAAACTCCAGCTTAAAATGTTGTATGTATCTGTATGTATCTGATTTCCTGTGCCCTACCATGTTTTGAATCAGGTAAATATTTGTTTAATAATATTTAAGTTAACATGTTATGTAGGGAATCAGCATTTGGACTATTAACACAGCAGACATGTAGTGGGAGCACTCTTTTTTATAAACTAAATTATATAATGGTTTAACTTTTTGGTTTCTTTAAGTTTCACTTTGTATTGGTGAGCCGCTTTGGTGCAGATCTTTCTTTTGAGTTTTTTAGTTTTAGTTCAAGTTTAAGTTTTAGTTTAATTGCATGCTAATTACATCTTGCGGTAATACATATACAAAAAAAAGAGGAAAAAAAACATAACCACATGCAAAAGTACTATTCTTTCAACTAACAATGTTAAAATAAAACATTTCCAACATACAGTACTCCTGGGATTTCTCCAAGTAACTAGCCCATTTAAAGGACAATTTAAAGATTTAACGACAACAAAATCAATATATTAATATAATATTGTAATATATAAAATTTGTATTGTATTAAACAACAACAAAATGAAACTCATCAGTTACACTGTACATTGACCTCCTGACTGATATAATGTCTAGTTTCAACAGTAGGTTGTGTTTACCAGATGTTAACCAGATCTCAGCTGGGCACATAAGGATGTTTTTTTTTAAGATAAATTATATACAACATGTGGCACCCTGGTAGCTCACCAGGTAGACCTGGCGCCCCATGTACCAAGGCTGAGTCCTTGTTGCAGCGGCCATGGATTCAAGCCTTGCTGCATGTCATCCTCTCTCTCTCTCCCCCTT